AGACCGGTTTTAACCCAGGCTTTTTCAGACCCAGGCCAGCTGGCCTTGGTGAGTTCCCGATAGGACATCCCCATTGTCTCAGTGTGTGGGTGCCCCCCTCGCGGTCCTGAGTTCCTTGCTCGTGCTCTCTCTCCTGGTGCTCCTGATTTGGACCTTGAGATTTCAGTCCGGTGCTCCAATGTGGGTCTCTGTCTCTGTCTCCTTTCATCGCCTGATGAAGGTTAATATTCAGGAGGATGCCTATATATGTTTTTCTTTGGGTTTTATGGCACCTCCAATCCTGTGAATATCAATCTTCAGCCCATTGTTTCTGTTTCTATAAAGGTTCCTTGGTGGAATTCAATTTTTATCTTGAGTTAGGAGGTATCCCTATATGTAACAACTTCATTTCAAATTCTCTATGACATAATATTGACTTAAATTACCCACTAGGATTTTAGGCATCTTTCACATTTTCAGTCTTTTGAGGCAGATGAAACAGAAATGGAAATCCAGTCCTTAAAGTCAGATGATGGGTTATGCCGTTCATACGGTCAATGCTCAGACTTGCGGTGTTTGTAAGATCAAGTATTTTTAAAGAATAAGATCACATTACACAGAAAACTACTTTTACCATGGAGTTATTGAAAAGTAAACCACTTTATGAACCTTTTCTAGGTTTTAAGGTAGTTGTTTTCCAGAGATGCCAGTGTCTGTGACTCCTAGAAGGGTCCTGGAACTTATTTACCTACATTATCTAGGAAGTCAGTCAGTCCAGACTCGGCAGAAGGCTGATGACATCTTTCTGCAGGCTGCTGCTTTGTCCTAGACAGCATAGGAGCTACAGGCCACCCTATCAACCACTCACTTTTCCAGCTCTTAATTTGTACAAGCCTTGGCTCCCACAGGTCAGCCCCCCTAGTGGCCATTTTAGTGGTCCTCAACACACTTGTAGGGGAGGTCTTTCCATCCCAGTGTCCTCATTCCAGTCACACTCCAAGACCAGAATATAAACATCACCCTGTTCCTTCCCTCTCGTGTGCATGAGCAACTGTGTCCTATTGTCTTTAATCAGTTCCTAGGGCACTCACCACAGCAGTTCTTTATGCTGTTTTCTGGGTCTATGGTAAATGTTCCTAGATCTGCTCAGAGCTCATCCTAGCCCTATCTCCTCGCGAAAGATAGGTATTCACTATAGGACTTCTTGAAATTCTCCTTTATCCTCAACAGAACCTCATGACTATAATGTTTTCTTTTTTAAATAAATTCACTGTGAGGATCATACTGTTATATCTCAACTTGTTCCCTTCACTCACAGTACTTCCCAAATGTGTCAGAAGTAAAGTAACACTGCTAGGGATATAGCCTAGAGAAGAACTCCTGCTTAGCCTATGCAAGGTCCTAATTTCCATCCCCATATTTCCACTCTGGCTATAAACAGACTCCTGTCTAGACGTTACCGCTAGACCTCAGAGATAATAACTCCAATAGACTGTTTTATGCCTTCTCCAGCATCACAAGAAATGAATGTTGACACAATAATTTATGCTTGCATCCTCTGTTATTGGACCAGACCACTCCAGTTCATGGACAGGGGACTTATCACAGTTTATGGCATGTAGCAAATATTTTAACCAATGAGAAAGAGCAACAATAGGTTTTAGAGCAAAATTATGCCTTTCCACTTGTACACAATTTAATCAGAAAAAACTAACACCCCCCCCCACACACAAAAGGTCATATATCCTAAATTCTGTAGAAATTCTAAGAACACAGGCATGATGCTTAAGGGTACTACACACTCACTATAGTGAACATACACTGAGCTTTGGACTTAAGGCGATGTAAGGTGGGGTCTTAGTTACTTCTCTGCTGATGTAACAAAACACCTCAACAAAATCAACATAAGGAAGAGTGGGTTTGTTTTGGCTTATAGTTCAAAGGACAGCCACCATGACAGGAAACTCAAGGTAGCAGGAGCTTGAATCACTTGGCCATATTGAGCCCAACAGTCAGAAAGAAGACAACAACAAATACTTGTGATGAGATTCCTTCTCCTTTTTGTGCAGTGCAGAATCTCAGCCCTAGGGAGGGGTGCTGCCTTTAGTGGATGGATCTTTCTACTGAAGTTAACCCAATCAAGAAAATCTCCCACAAGCACACTTAGAAACCCTTCTCCCAGGTGATGGTAAACCCGTTCAAGTTGACAATTAAAACTAATCATTGCAGGTTGCAGTGTGCCGTCAAGGCTAGGACGCAGAGGTGAAAATCATCCAGTTTACAAGAGTCCTTGAATCTGGGAGAAAATTCACCAAAGGAAAGAATTCAAGATGTAAGAGCAGGGATCCCCTTGAAAACAGTGTATTTTTAAGACAGCCATCAGGAAGTGTAGATGACTGAGACCCAGGAGGGTGGGATTAGATTTGAAAAGGTCAGATATTTCACAAATTGAGTTTTTTTCTGGGATAGTAGAACAGTGACTGCCATTCCTACCAATTTTCTTTTAGATGAACAATTCCTCGTGCATTGTGGGAAATTTTAGAGGAGACTTATTCTGTGTAACTCCAGAAGTTAACATTTTCTCTTTGTTTTTGTCTTTAGTGTATGGACACCAAGACTCTACAGAGGCAATCTGGCATTCAGGGCAGCGATGGTGCTGATGAAGAGACACTTCCCCAGCTGGCTGCAGCCATCCTTGCCCTGTCACTCCAAGGAGTTTGCCTGGGGAGAAGAGACTTGCCTTCCCCAGATGACTTCACGAACTATATTTTCAGTTTCTTGAATAGGACCAGTTCTCTCCACCTATCCGGTAAGGTTGTTTTTCATGAATTTCATTTCTATGTCTAATTAATTGTGCCAAAACACAAAGGCCAGAGCATTGTGTTGCCTGAATTTGCTCAGGTCTGATTTAAACACTGTTTATCTTGGCATGTAAAGAGAGGACAGATGGCTTCTTAGGGCAGGAAGTCTATCGGCTGATGAAGCATAAACGTGAACTTGGCTCACTTGTGTATGGATGGAAATCAGGGAAATAGAATCAAATGAACAGATTTTAAACCTGCCTTGAGAACTAACTAAATAAAAACACTTTCTTATTGGATACATAACATTGGTCCTGAGACGGCAGAATAATGAAATGGTATTCAAAATGGTTCATGAGAGTCCATAGCAGCTTGAGTGTAACCATAAAAGAAAACCGTTTGTGTTTAAACATCAGTAGCTTGTGAGCTATTCATTTAATTTGTTTATGATAAGCAATATTTGGAGGCTCTGAGATGAAACGATGTCAGGAAGGAAATGTGAATATTAATTTTTGTATGTTTCTTTGTATTTCGTGTGGAAAATGCCTTGATAAGCGTCTGAAATGGTTTGACAGTTTCTATATATGAATCCAAGTATCTGTCAGTAGATTTTCTTTCTAATCTCATTATATAATATCAACCAAAAATAATCACTTCTCAGTTTTGAAGAATGTTGGATCACATTTTCCTGAATTTTAAAAATATTTTTATTTTTTTAATTGAATCCGGATCCAGAAAAGATCCACAAAATGAGTAGGAAGTTGGATCAGTAGGTAAGGTGCTTTCCATGAAAGCATGAGAAGCTGAGATCCCAGTATCTAAACAAAGCCAGGCACTGTATTGATCTGTGAGCCCAATGTTTCTATGGCAAGATACACAGACAGAAGAATTCCCCAGAAGCTCATGGGCCAGCTAGCCTGACATACATAGTGGGAACAAAAGACCCTGTTTCTACCAAGGTAGAAAGCAAGGACTTCCTCATATATAATATGTATGTGTGTGCCTATACTCAAACAGACACACACACATGCATGCGCGCGCACACACACACACACACACACACACACACACACACAAACTAAAACCCATTAAATGTAAAATGTTGGTAGATTTCTTATTTCCTTTACAAGTGGAAGTTCTATTTTATCACAAATAATTTTGTTGTAGGGAGTAAAGGGTGTTTACCCTGGGGATTGCTGATTGCATTCAGAGTTAACTTGCACTTCTATGCATCACCTGTATGTTGGTGGTTGTATGTGGTGGAGATTGTATTCATTTTCAGTTATTTAGTGAAGAGCCCCTTTTTATGGTTAGTGACCACCATCCGAAGACTTGGAATATTTGCTTCTCTTTTGTATGAGATCCATAAGCTTCTGATGGATGTCTAAATTGGCTATTTGAAGCTTATAAAATGATGTTCTAATGCTCTCATGGCCTCCCCACTGCTCTCTGGTCTTTTGATCTCCAATGGAGGAATTTATAGGAAAAACACATAGTATAGAAGATAAGCAAAGTTTATTTTAGAGTAGGTACATCCTCAAGTGATGACAATAGACAGTAGACAAAGGAGCCATTGTGAACAGGACACCCACAGGGTGAGAGTAGATGATGACCAAAGATCACTGATGCAACCTACATTGTAGGTAAATTTTACATTATTATTTTTTCAATTCTTTTTATTATTGTTTTTATTGAGCTATACATTTTTCTCTTCTTCATTTCTTTCCTACCTCCTCCCCTTCTACCCTCTTCCATGATCCCCATACTCCCAATTTACTCAGGAGATCTTGTCTTTTTCTACTTCCCATGTAGATTAGATCCATGTATATCACTCCTAGGGTCCTAATTGTTGTCCAGGTTCTCTGGGCTTGTGAATTTTAGGCTTGTTTTCTTTGTGTTATCTTTAAAAAGTCACTTATGAGTGATTACATATGATATTTGTCCTTCTGGGTCTGGGTTATCTCACTCAATATGATGTTTTCTTTTTTTTTATTCATTTTTTAAAGATTTCTGTCTCTTCCCCACCGCCGCCTCCCATTTCCCTCCCCTTCCCCCAATCAAGTCTCCCTCCCTCGTCAGCCCAAAGAGCAATCAGGGTTTCCTGCCCTCTGGGAAGTCCAAGGACCACCCACCTCCATCCAGGTCTAGTAAGGTGAGCAACCAAACTGCCTAGGCTCCCACAAAGCCAATAATTGCAGTAGGATCAAAAACCCATTGCCATTGTTCTTGAGTTCTCAGTAGTCCTCCTTGTCCGCTATGTTCAGCGAGACCGGGTTTATCCCTGGCTTTTTTCAGACCCAGGCCAGCTGACCTCCGTGAGTTCCTGATAGAACATCCCCATTGTCTCAGTGTGTGGGTGTACCCCTCGCAGTCCTGAGTTCCTTGCTCGTGCTCTCTCTCCTGGTGCTCCTGATTTGGACCTTGAGATTTCAGTCCGGTGCTCCAAAGTGGGTCTCTGTCTCTGTCTCCTTTCATTGCCTGATGAGGGTTAATATTCAGGAGGATGCCTATATGTTTTTCTTTGGGTTCTCCTTCTTATTTAGCTTCTCTACGATCACGAATTATAGGTTCAATGCCCTTTATTTATGGCTAGAAACCAAATATGAGTGAGTACATCCCATGTTCCTTTTTTTTGGGTCTGGCTTACCTCACTCAGTATAGTCTTTTCTATTTCCATCCATTTGTATGCAAAACTCAAGAAGTCCTTGTTTTTTACTGCTGAGTAGTAGTCTAATATGTATATATTCCATACTTTCTTCATCCATTCTTCCATTGAAGGGCATCTAGGTTGTTTCCAGGTTCTGGCTATTACAAACAATGCTGCTATAAACATAGTAGAGCATATACTTTTGTTGTGTGATAAGGCCTCTCTTGGGTATATTCCCAAGAGTGGTATTGCTGGGTCCATGGGTAGGTTGATCCCAAATTTCCTGAGAAACCTCCACACTGCTTTCCAGAGTGGTTGCACAAGTTTGCATTCCCACCAGCAATGGATGAGTGTACCCCTTTCTCCACAACCTCTCCAGCAAAGGCTATCATTGGTGTTTTTGATTTTTGCCATTCTGACAGGTGTAAGATGGTATCTTAAAGTTGTCTTGATTTGCATTTCCCTGATCGCTAAGGAAGTTGAGCATGACCTTAGGTGTCTTTTGGCCATTTGAACTTCTTCTGTTGAGAGATCTCTGTTCAACTCAGTGCCCCATTTTATAATTGGGTTGATTAGCCTTTTACGGTCTAGTTTCTTGAGTTCTTTATATATTTTGGAGATCAGACCTTTGTCAGTTGTGGGGTTGGTGAAGATCTTCTCCCAGTCAGTGGGTTGCCTTTCTGTCTTAGCAACAGTGTCCTTTGCTTTACAGAAGCTTCTCAGTCTCAGGAGGTCCCATTTATTCGATGAGGCCCTTACTGTCTGTGCTGCTGGGGTTATACGTAGGAAGTGGTCTCCTGTGCCCACGTGTTGTAGAGTACTTCCCACTTTCTCTTCAATCAGGTTCAGTGTGTTTGGACTGATATTGAGGTCTTTCACCCACTTGGACTTGAGTTTTGTGCATGGTGATAGATATGGGTCTATTTTCATTCTTCTACAGATTGACATCCAGTTTTGCCAGCACAATTTGTTGAAGATGCTCTCTTTTTTCCATTGTATACTTTTAGCTCCTTTATCGAAAATCAGGTGTTCATAGGTTTGTGGGTTAAAGTCAGGGTCTTCTATTCGATTCCATTGGTCGACTTCTCTGTTTTTATGCCAATACCAAGCTGTTTTCAATACTGTAGCTCTGTAATAGAGTTTGAAGTCAGGGACGGTAATGCCTCCAGACGTTCCTTTATTGTATAAGATTGTTTTGGCTATCCTGGGTTTTTTGTTTTTCCATATAAAGTTGATTATTGTCTTCTCCAGATCTGTGAAGAATTTTGATGGGGATTGCATTGAATCTATAGATTGCTTTTGGTAGAATTGCCATTTTTACTATTTTTATCCTCCCAATCCAAGAACAAGGGAGATCCTTCCATTTTCTGGTGTCCTCTTCTATTTCTTCAATATGATGTCTTCTAAATTTACCCATTTGCCTGTAAATTTTAAGATGTCAATATTTTTTCCTTAGTGTAAATGTACCACATCTTCTTTATCTATTCTTTGGTCGAGGGGCAACTTGGTTGTTATTTCCTGCCAGCTAGTTCTCTGGGAGAGTTTGCTTCTTTTTGTTCTAGAGTTTTCAGATGTTCTGTTAACTCACTAGAGTGAAAAATTTCCAACTTCTTTACATAGGCCTGTAGTGCTATGAACTTTCCTCTTAACATTGCTTTCATTGTGTCCCATGAATTTGGGTATGTTGTGTGGTCATTTTCATTGAATTTTAGGATGTCTTTAATTTCTTCCTTTATTTCTTGCTTGACCCATTGGTGACTCATTTGAGCATTGCTTAATTTTCATGTGTTTGTGGGCTTTCTTAAATTAGTGTTGCTGTCAAATTCCAATTGGAGGCCATGATGATCTAATATATGCATATATAACATGAGGTTATTCCAGTTTTTTTTGTATTTGTTTAGGTTTGCTTTGTCACCTAATATGTGGTCAATTTTTTAAAAGGTTCCCTGAGGTGCTGAGAAGAAGGTATGGTTAGATCGAATGTTCTATAGATGTTTATTAAGTCCATTTGAGTCAAAACATCTGTTAGTTCCCTTATTTCTTTCTGGCAGACATGTAGTGATTGTGGGTTGTTGACATCTCCCACTATTAGTGTGTGGGGTCTAATGTGTGCTTGAAGCTTTAGAAGTGCTTCTTTTACATATAAGGGTGCTGTTGTATTTGAGATTTTCTCTTTATGAATTTTTCCTGTAACTGATACAAAATGTTCGTCTTTTGATTGATTTTAGTTTGAAGTATATTTTGTTAGATATTAGGATAACCACACCAGCTTGTTTCTTAAGTCCATTTGATTGGAAATTTTTTTCCCAACTCTTTACTCTGAGGCAATGTCTGTCTTTGAGTTTGAGGTGTGTTTCTTGTATACAGCAGAAGGATGGATTCTGTTTTTGTGTCCAATCTCTTAGCTTGTGTCTTTTTATAGGTGAGTTGAGTCCATTTATTTTAAGGGATATTAATGAACAGTGATTGCTATTTCCTGTTGTTTTCATTGTTGGTGATAGTATTGTGTGTGTTTTCCCCTTCTTTGAGATTTGCTGCTGTGAGATCATCTATTATCTGTGTTTTTGTGGATGTAGCTATCTTCCTTGGCTTAGAGTTTTCCTTCTAGTACTTTGTATAGGGCTGATTTTGTGGCTAGGTATTGGTTAAACATGATTCTGTCATGGAATATCCCGTTTTGTCCTTCTATGGTGATTGAATGTTTTGCTGGATAGAGTAGTCTAGACTGGCATCTGTGGTTTCTTAATGCCTGCATAATGCTTGACTAGACCTTCTGGCTTTCTTGTTTTCATTGAGAAATCAGGTGTCAGTTTTTATATTATTTTTTAAGACTGGAATAGACACCTTTCCTGTGGGATATTTTTTACTCCTCTAAGTGATTGAAAGGCCCATTTGGATTGATCCTGACAGGAGAGAGTGGTCATCTAACCTTGCTCTTTATCAGAATGCTTCCTGCTAAATGGTAAATTTAGGAGTTCATAGAATCAGTTATAGACTGTTATCAACTCATGACCTTCTTGGACCTTTGGAATGTCACACTCTTCTCCCAAGAATGACTCAGATTCATTCTTTTGGCCATGAATGAAAGTCTGTAGTTTCAGACCTTGTTGTTGAAGCTGTTGATATGAGTGAGGCATACACCTATGGTATCCTTCAAGTCTGATAATATCTAGTTACCTATTTGTTGATATTATAATTCTATAATGAAAATATTTCCTTCCACATTAATTTTGTTTCGCTTGGGATCTTTATATTACATGTGTATATGTGAGTGAAATATGCATGCATTCATGTTCACATGTGTATATACATATATGTGATATATATAACTATATATATGTATAAATATACCATGTAGAGGTCAGAGGTTGATGTTGGATACCTTCCTTGATGACTTCCTTAAATGTTGAGTCAGAGTCTCTTGTTTGAATCCAATATTCAGAGATTCAGCTGGTCTACTTAGTTAGCTTGCTCTGGAGATTCCTTGTCTCTGCCTTCTGAGTACTGGGATAATGGGTGAGCTACTACTCTGACTGACATTTTCTTGGGTGCTGAGGATCTGAACTCTAGTTCTCATGCTTGCATTCACTGAGCCATCTGGGCAGCTCTTTGATAATGTTCTCAAAGGAAAATAACAAATTATTTTCAAGATTTTCCTGGCTTGTTTGTTGATCATAACTAACATGATTAAATTGTTGAGCCCCCCTTCAAAAAAAACACTGTCATGCATGCACACTTATATGTGTGTGTTTATATAAATACTTAAAGAAAATGACATTTATAACATGTTACATATTATATCCCATAATGAAACATATCTTTCAACTTGTTTGTGCTCACATGTGTGTTTTATTATTTGTATGATAGAAGTTTCCAGATACCCCTTTTTACATTTATGTTTAGGCAGCTCACTTTCTTCCTGGCCATCTTAAATGAGGGTTTCTTTTATGTATCTTCTGGTTGGTTCTTATATAAGTGAGAGCAACTGACTTTTATAGATTAACTTTATAATTTGCTCCACGAAGACTATTGTTTTTACATTGCTTTTCTGAGGAGTGTCAGATATATATTTTCATCATTTCCAAGCAGTTATGGCTTTGTCTCCTTCCAGTTCCTGTAATTTTGCTTGCTCTCTTACATACCTGATTTAGTTAATAACTGAAATACAGTATTAAGTAGTATTGTGGGTGACTTGTGCTCCTATGGTTCTGAGTTTGAAAAAAAAAGAATGCAGTGCGTTCTCATTAAATATATATTTATAAATATAACTACAGAATTTCTTTCATTAACCTACAATTTCATGTTTTTAAAGCTCTCCATTCCTTACAATAAAGTTAAATAACCTGAAATTTTTACCAAAAGGGAACTTTGAGTCATTTCTTTACTTCTGGTGTTACCAAGATGGCTCAGTGGTAAATAGATCTTGCTTGTTTTTCAGAAGATTGGAATTCTGATCCCAGCATCCATATCAGGAGGCTTGCAGCTTTCTTGAAAAACCAGCTTCAGGGAACTCAATGCCTTCTTCTGACCTCTGTAGGCAACTGTATACACATATACATACTTAGGCACACAGACACATTCATGCATATAAATACAAAAACACATTTAATTCTGTATTTCTTGTCATATATGGATATTGGCAAAAAATTTTATCATTTACTGTTTACCAGGATTTTGGTGTTTTTTATTTCTGATTCATTGTGAGGGACTGTTTTGCTGGGTATAAAACCATTGATTGACAAGTGATTCTTTCAGTTCTTTGAATATGTCATCCTACTATTGAGGGGGGTAGAGCCACCATTGTTCAGATAGGAAGTCAGCCATCTGCTGCCACATATATATGAATCATTTTAGCTTGATGAAGATCTTGGATTTTCATCAGTTTGACTATAATGTGTCTGAACATGAATGTTGGCTTATTTAAATTGATTGGTGTTTAATACGTTTCCTGAAATGCTAATGAAGATTCTTATGACACACTTGAGAAGTTCTTGGCCACTCTTTTCATCAGTTTTTCATCATTATTCTTTGTCTCTCTTTCTGTAGCTGTCAATCCATGTCTGTTGATAATAAATGTTCTTTTCTAAGCCTCTGAAACTTATTCCAGTTTTTCTTTCTCTATTCTTCAGGAAGGATTATTTCTGTTACCCACTATAAATTATCAGTGAATTTTTTACCTTCTGCTTTCTCACATATATTGTTTAGTGCTTTTGTGATTGTTTATTTTAAAACAATGTATTTTTTATCTACTTATTGAAAATTTTTTTACTTATTGCCATTCTTCACTTTTATTATTTAAGTATGATTTTCTTTAGTTCCTTAAACATTCTTTTGCTAACTTCCTTGAGGACTTTGAAACTAAATCCAATATCTGGGATTACCCGCAGATGTATTTATCATTTGCTATTTCTCTTTAATACCAGTCACTCTTTTCCAGTTATTGAAAGCTCATATTATTTTTTGTCGCTGAAAATTGGTCATTTATAATAAAATTGCTTGGTGTATTTTTATATAACTAATTATACTGTTTAAGAAAATTACAAAGCTATTTTATTCACAGATAAGAAGAGTAATGCCTTATAGACTGACTACTTTATTTAATCATTCTTTGTATATATAATTTTCAAAGTGTAGAAATGAATTGATGGAACTGAACTGCAATATATGTGTGCCATCAAGAGCAGAATTTTAAAACATTAGAATCTAGTGAACCTCTCTAACCTTAGCTTGATTTCATGTATTTTATTTGTTCTGCATATACCTCTAAAAGGAAAGTATTTTCATTGATTTGTGTACAACAAAGAAATATATAATCTGATGAGGATGTCGAGTGCCTTCAGGGTGTAAATGTTCTGAAGATCAGGCCAGTTTCTACTTTACATTTTCTAGTTTGAGTTTTTATTACATTGTAGTTATTTTATGTGTATGTGTGTGCGAGTGTATGAGTATGTTTACATGTATATGGTTGTGCACATGAGTGTGCCACAGTTCACAAATGAAGGTCACAGGAAATTTTTCTAGAGTTGGTTCTCTCTTTTCACCATGTGGGACCTGGGATCAAAGTGAATCATCAGGCTTGGTAGCAAATATCTTTATCCCTGAGCCATTTATCTCTCCCCTTCATTATATGATTTATAGCAAATAAAAACATGTCTCAATGAAATGTATGTTCTCTGAATGCTCACTTTTGTTATTTCTAGGGTATAAAAATATAGGATTCTTCTGGGATGATTAATTTTTCATCCAAGTTTAATCAAGGTCTTTAGAGGGAATCAGCACCCACGTGAAGTACAAATACTCTTTAGCTTTGTTCCATTATAACCATAAACCAAGTTTACTTTGTAAAAAGTCTGAGCTGTGGTCTTGGAAATTGTGACTACTCAAAATGTGACCTGTCTATTTCATGTGACACCAGATTTTATTTGAAATTTCTAGAACTAGAACAACTCCTCAACACACTTTCAGCCAGAATGGCCTGTGCCAAAAAGGATTTCCTCCATCAACACCAAAGGAGAGAAAACATGACAATACACAGTTGGGGAGAACCTAAGTCAACTATAGCAATGGAAAAAGAGTCTGATGACCGTTCTGTTTCCTGGGATCAGGTATTTTCATTTTTTTATGTTATCATTCTTTATTGTTGAAGGACATTGATAGTTCTGTTAGAATTATGGAAATCCTATGAAGATAATAAATATTTTTCTTTGTGGTATGTTTATAGTTTTCTTTTTCTGTACATTGATTTCTAAAGACATAGAAATAGACCTAAAATATTTAGGGTTTCTCTTAGGTCTATATTAAACATAGGAATAATTAATTTAGAAAAGATACACTAAACATATATTATTAGCTAGTAGTTAGCTTGGTAGAAAGAATGCCATACTGGTTGAAGATAGGCCTAGTCCTTACAAATCATACAAATCAGTGGGGGATTTAAATATTACACAAGTGAAAATAATGATAAGCAGTCTAAATTTAAGATGGATTAGTACTAGATTCCTTTGTGCTTTGACTAATGGAAGCATATGTGTGTAATAGATTGGTCCTTTCATATAGTTTTCGGGTTTGAACCTAGGCCTAGGTAAATATATCCTTTGAACTACATCCTTAGCCCTATTAAACTATTTAGCTTTTTCCTTGACATATGTGTGCATGCATGCTTGTGTGTACACATGTGTACCCATGAGTGTAGAGGTCTGAGGGGTACTAGAGTCACCCTGATTGATAGGGTCTTTGATTTGAACCCAGAACTCACCGATTCTGCCAGTCTAGCAAACCAGTTTGATCTTGCAATGCTGTCTGTTCTTGCAGTACACTGAGAGTACAAGTGGGTTGCCACAGCTGCTCAGATTTTTTTTCATTTTTTTTATTTTATTGAGAATAAGAAAAAAAAGTTTCCGCCTCCTCCCAGCCTCCCATTTCCCTCCCCCTCCCCCACTCTACTCCCCCTCCCCCCTCTCTTCTCCCCCTCCAACCTCTCTTCTCCCCCTCCCCCACTCC